TATTTTGCTTTAGTTAGTTTGATAGGATCTACTTGTGATAGATAAATGATATTTTGTATGAAGTTGTATTACTATCAGTTCATATCAGTTTGATGACTATTTCGAGGCCCTGTCCCTCTTTGTTATGGCCCAGTGACTTTGAATTAATTAGAAATTTTCAATGTATGTTTTTCTGCTTTAGTTATATTGATAGGAACTATTTACAATAAACAACAATATTTTCTATAAAGTTACATCACTGTCTGTACATCTCAGTTTGTTGACCATTTTCAGGTTCTGCCCACTAGATCATGGTCCAGTGACTGAATTGATAAGCAATGTTGCTGTCCATTAGATTGCCTTTTTCTGAATTTTATGCTGATAGGCGAGACATATATCTGTGTTAACAGTTTATTTATTTTAACCATTACTGTATGAACTGTGGGAATATTTCCATATGTTTTATTTTTAAATTTTGATATACATGTTATATAGATTACCATGTCAAAACTTGACAAATTGTAAAAGATAATGAAAATCTGTGTTTATAGAGAGTTAACAAAACTTCTTTTATCCAACACCTAACAATGAACTTAATCTTCAATTCATCTAAGATCAACATTTATGGTTAACTGGCATGTGAGGAAACTTTAAACAATAATTGAGAGCTATTTATCCATTTATTTAATGGCAGAGATAGGCAGATTTTGACTGAAGATACTGTGAATAATTGATGAAATCATCCATGATCTGACTTAGCTGACTGCCATAAAGATGCTTAAATAGTCTGAATTAATGGCGTAATAAGCTTAACTCTCAATTAGATATGCCTTTCCTTTTAAAGCTTAATATAGACATGCATTAATATTTATCTTGGTTACTATTAAGGTCGGTTAAATACTGGATCTCTGAAGTAAATTGGGTTAAAATTGACTTCTGCTAGACATTAATTTTGAAATGCAATCTTTTTCTGACAATTATCACATAAATTATTGTCTGCAGTTTAAGTACAAGTACATTGCTGGTTTAATCAATGTTTCTAATTTGAAGATAAGACTAAGAGTAATTTTGCCTTTAAAAATAATTTTTCTAAAAAATGAAAATATATTATATCATGCGTCATAATTACATTTTTTTTACTTACTAAAAATTCACTTCAGCATGTCATTGCTAAAAAACATGTTTGAATATAATATCTTCATAATTATGTTTAGTTGTCCAATTTACCCATACCTGTACTTCAGGTGTTAAAACTTAACTTTTTCAAGCTTTAACCATTGTCCTTAAAAATTTAACAGTTTACACTGTAATTGAACTATTTTCTTTACCATTACATTTATATCCTTTTCTTTTTAGAACCGATTTTAATTGGGACTTTTTATGTATTTTAGGTTTACATTTATCGGTTTACATATATACTTACCTTGTTAAAACTTTAAATCCCTTGTCAAAAGATTCCATAATTCGTACCCCATTGATCGGTAGAATGATTGATCCGCGATGTGCGATCATCTATATATTGATTCACAGGTTGTTAATTATAGCAAATTTTGATGATATCTTCAAACGACGAGTCTTAGACTTGTTGTCACATATCTACGAGGGGAGGATTTTGATTGACTAACACATATGTTCTGAGACATATATGAAGGACTTAAAATATTTTGAGCATGTTTAATTATAACATTTTTGTTATATTGTGATACTGTGTGTAAATATTGTCTGTCAATAATTAGAAAATTTGGTCAATTATACTTGTCACTGATAAGCCAAGTCATTGTTACTCTGGTGTTTAGTTTACTTTAAACAATTGACTTTTGTGATAGAAAAAAATTCTTGGCAACCAACTTTGAACAAATACGAAAAAGTAAAACAAAGATGCACATTGTTTTTAGTGCATTTGCTTTCTGTTTTGGTACTGTTTGGATATGATAAAAAGAATTCATGCTGTATTATGGAGTAAAATAAAAGAACACATTCTTGTGATAGATGGAAAATAAATTTTAAAGTAAAGTAATTCGAAGTGAAGGATTATAAATTGAGTTGGATTAAAATTCTGTGATAAAATGACTTATTATAATAGTAAGGTAATGTTGACTTTAGACTATTTAGACTTAGACTTAATGCAGAAAATTTTCCTTCTGTATATTCAGGTTGTTGAAACATTCCTAACTGAATTAAAATAATAACCAGTTACATATAGAAATATCAAAGAAAAGTGCCCTGGTCAATCTAGTTCCCCTTTATGAACTTGACATTAATCCAAGATTGCTTATAAATATAAAAAGAAGATGTGGTATGTATGCATAGAGTTGTCTCATTGGCACTCATACCACATCTTCCTATATCTATATAGATTTAGTTCTTTGTCAATTTTGGACTCTAATTACTAGAAAATATGCATATACCTGACTAATTGAGTAATTTCTAACTTTGCTCAAATTCTATTGAATGAATGGTCAATTGTATTGTTTCTGGTTGATATGAATGACAAGATATGTTTTTTTATGACTAGAGTTATGATAAATGGTGTCATGAAAAGTTATTTGCTTTGCAGCTTTTTGAAGCATTACAAAAATCAGAAATCTCTATTGAAAATAACTTTACACTTGTTCCAATTTTCTTTTAAATTTCAGTTCAAATTGTATTTTCTACTGATTTTTTTTATTAAGAAATAATAAAAGTTTGCAGTGTGAAGACTCATGTCCACAAGAAAGATAAACAGTATGAAAAAAAAATTAAATAGTTCACTTAAAGTTATAAATGACTATAAATACAAAGATAAAGATTTTTCCGTGATAAAACGTGAGAAGGTCATTAGAAGATTTTACAGTTGTGCATAGCAATGCATGTATTTTGTATTCACAATGACTATTAGATAATATGCCCCCTAGTTATATTGGAATGAGAAATATCTTTCAATCTATTTTATACTTTAGAATGATAAGCTGAAGGCATTTAAAACAATGTTGATAATCTATTAAATTTGGAATAAGAAAGAACAACAATATAGACATTTGTACATAGAAACTGTCGAGTCAACACGACAAAGCAATTCTGTTTAAACTTTAAAAGGTTTTTGTACAAGTTTCATACACCTACTACTGTCAAAATCAATAGTCACTATGTTGGAACAATGTTTATACATTTGATTAGAGAGTTTAAATGGATTTTCTTCTTTTCATTTTATTAATTTAATTAATTGTTTTATAACATCTTAATTGCAGTCAATTGTCAAAGTAAGGTTCACGCTGAGTTACGTAATTACTTAATTGTATTAGAATTGCTTTCAATCGAGTTATTGGTAAAATCAGTTCTGTTTGTTGTTAGGAAAGTGTTTACCTCAGTAAATATGATTACTATCGAATCTGTCAGGCCTGAAAAATATATAGCTTTCTAATTTTGATTCCATTGGATTTAACTTGTAAAAATTCTGTGAAATTGTTGCATAGTTACAAAATTTGCTTTGATGAAAAAGTCAGGTTTATTGGATAATCTGCACAGACTCGATGCAAGTATAGAAGATCCTGTCTGCTTAATAGATGGTTGTTTTTTCTCGTGCGTTCATTCTTACTCAAAAGACCACCATTTGTATTTATGATGAGTTTATTGACAATTAATAAAATGCAGTTTCAACATATTGACTATCCCATCATATATTAAGGTTTACTTGGTTGCCTTGAATGATTTGTACCAGTTTACTGATACAGTAGAACTGCTTAAAAAGAAACCTATTTCTAATGGATTTCCTCTTTGTTATTCTTTTGTCAAAGTGTATAAACTATTGGATGCCAGTTGACATCATTTTTAAGTCTAAGGAAATCAACAGTGAATGAAAATTCTTTATTGAATTCAGATGTGACCTTTGCATATGTTACAATCCAATATAGTTTGGTAACTAGGAAGTTCTTTGAAACATGTTAGGGGCAGATTTAAGGGGATCATTGGCACCTAATCCCCCTTAATTAAGCAAATTTATGGAAACAATATGTCCTGATCAACTGGGTACTTTAATCAGTCCCCAAACCCCTCTTTGATTACCTACACCCTTAACCTTTAATACTGGTTATGTACCTGTATGAATTGATGAGATTAAACTTAAAACACATATACATGGTCTTCTTTTAATGTAATTCAGAATTTGTATTCTGTATATTACTATATATAGTTATATTAGTTAATTGGTGAAATAAAACTATGTTTACTTATACCCCACTCCAAATGTGATGGACACACATTTACAATGTTAAAAAGTTTGAAGAAGGAAATTGAATTATGGAAAGCATATTGAATAAGTTATAACATGCATTTTTCCCCTGATATTGAGGAATAAATTCACCTGTCAAACATGATTTTAAAATACACGGACGAAGGTAAATAGAAAATAACCTTGTATAAACATGGCATCAATCTAAATTCCTCTTAATGCTGTAGGTTCCTCTTTATACATGCAGCATGGTTATGCAAATATTTGGTCTCTTTTCATTACTTGAGTTATGAGTCTTTCCTTTATTAAGATTTAAATTTTACATATTGAATTTATTATGAGTGCACAATACTGCAAACGTTGTTTTGTCAAAAGATTCTCTTTTCCAAAGAAGGTTGCCAATCTGATTAAATTTTGTTTTGATTTTTAATTCTATGTTTCCCTGTTTGTAAGCCTTGAAATTAAATGTGATTGAAACAAGCTGAATTGGCTAAAATTGAAATATTCGGAATAGGTGGATGGTTGCATATCTCATGCTACTGTTATATTTCATACTTTATGACTGGGCAGAGTAGTGCTTTTTTAGATTTCTTTAACTTCTTTTCTTTGGACAAAGACCACTGTCTCCAAGTGTTTTACTTAAATAAATTTGCTTTTCTTAGGTAAAAATATATTTTATGATATCATTAGTGTTACCAATGGTGCAATCTATTATTGTTTCATATCTCATTACGAGACAAGTCACAAGGAAAACAATCAGATCAAACACAGATGCAGGCAATACCAAGATATATTTTCTTTTTTTTATTTTTAGATAAGTTACCCACCTGTTCAGCAAAGACCAGCATGGACACAACCCTTGACTCTCCTCTCAGATGCTGTAGGTTACACTGGAGTAGAAGTACCTCAGTCCAACCCCCTTCCATATCTTCAAACTGGAGTTTCAACATTTACTATTCCATCAACAGTTTGGACACCTGTCAATCAGGGCCCTGCACCACGACCACCTACTCTCAGGAGTCGCCCTCTCAGTGCTGGAGCAACAAGAAGGGGAACAACTAATGCATTTGAAAAGTTTCAGACAATTGGTGGAACACCAGTGGCATCTCCTGTTGTACAACGACGTAAGTAAAATATTGTGCCTGACAATATATTGAATATGAATAGAAGGATTTAGGTTCACATCAATGAGACATCAATCCTAGGACACAAAAACAAAACCACATCTAAAAATTTAATAGAACTATAGAGTTCATATGGTTCCAATAATATTTTGTTGTTGTTGTTTCTTGAAGGTGCACTGTACTTTCTAAGAAAATGGATATTACTATCTTAATATTGACAGAATAGGTCAAATCAAGATAATTCATACAGTATGCATGCAGGACAATCAATCATAGATTTAATGTTATTTGATGGAATTATTAGAAATATTTAGTAGAATTTACACAAATTCGATTAACATTTGCCTGAAAAAAACATAAGACAGATGGGGACAATCTAAAAAGTTCCCTTATTGTTTTTCCAAGAGTAACCTGTTTCATAGACATTATTCACTGACTGTAAAACATGGTAACTGTTTGTAGCGCATACTATATAATGTTGTAATATTCATTACAATGGAACACATATTTCTTTTCTTTTTCTTTGTTGAAGCATTTTGCTTTTTTGTTAGGATGAAATAACATTCCCTCTAATAGTAAACTTCACTATTATGTGAAAGAAATGGTAATTATCTTTTATGTCACTATATATTCTTATTCTTCACTGCCTAGATAAAATCAGTAAGTTACGTAATTGACTATTCATAATATGTTTGGATCTGTAAACATGTCCTTTTAAATTATTTGTTGTCTCAGTAATATTTTAAATATGAATACATTTTTAGCTCACCTGGCCCGAAGGGCCAAGTGAGCTTTTCTCATCACTTGGCGTCCGGCGTCGGCGTTAACTTTTTACATTTTGAACTTCTTCTAGAGAACCACTGAATGGAGTGAAACCAAACATGGCATGAATGTTCCTTATGAGGTGCTGACCAAGTGTTGTTACTGTGTAGCGGATCCATCATCAAAGATGGCCGCCAGCGGGGGACTTAGTTTAACATAGGACCCTATGGGAAATACATACAAATGTCTTCTTTTAGAGAACCACTGAATGGAATAAAACCAAACATGGCATGAATGTTTCTTATGAGGTGCTGACCAAGTGTTGTTACTTTAAAGCCGATCCATAATCCAAGATGGCTGCCAGTGGGGGACTTAGTTTAACATAGGACCCTATGGGAAATACATACAAATGTCTACTTTTAGACAACCACTGAATGGAATAAAACCAAACATGGCATGAATGTTTCTTATGAGGTGCTGACCGAGTGTTGTTACTTTGAAGCCGATCCATAATCCAAGATGGCCGCCTGCAGGGGACTTAGTTTAACATGGGACCCTATGAAGATACATACAAATGTCTTCTTTTAGAGAACCACTGAATGGAATGAAACCAAACATGGCATGAATGTTCCTTATGAGGTGCTGACCAAGTGCTGTTACTTTGAAGCTGATCCATCATCCAAGATGGCAGCCAGCGGGGGACTTAGTTTACCATGGGGCCCTATGGGAAATACATACAAATGTCTTCTTTTAGAGAACCACTGAATGCAATGAAACCAAACATGGCATGAATGTTCCTTATGAGGTGCTGACCAAGTGTTGTTACTATGAAGCCGATCCATAATCTAAGATGGCCGCCAGTGGAGGACTTAGTTTAACATAGGACCCTATGAGAAATACGTACAAATGTTTTCTTTTAGAGAACCATTGAATGGAATGAAACCAAACATGGCATGCATGTTCCTTTTGAGGTGCTGACCAAGTGTTGTTACTTTGAAGCTGATCCTTCATCCATGATGGCTGCCAGATGGGGACAATGTTTAACAAAGGACCCTATGGACAATACATACAAATGTCTTCTTTTAGAGAACCACATACTGAATGGATTGAAACCAAACATGGCATGAATGTTCCTTATGAGGTGCTAACCAAGTGTTGTTACTTTGAAGCTGATCCTTCATCCATGATGGCCGCCAATGGGGGGACTTCCTTTTGACCTTCTGCTGTTGTCTGTTCTATGGTCGGGTTGTTGTCTCTTTGACACATTCCCCATTTCCATTCTCAATTTTAAATGCTTCTTCTAGAGGTGCACTGAATGGAATGAAACCAAAACATGGCATAAATGTTTCTTATGAGGTGCTGATTACGTGTTGCTACTTTGTTGCCGATTTACTGTTCAAGATGGCCACCAGGATTTTTTATTAAATTACAGGACCAATATTAAACCAAATTTTGCCTCACTCATTATTAGGGTATCTGTTATGATTTTAATCTGTTTTTACATGATTTCCAAAACCAAAGTAGAATCAGGTGAGCGACACAGGCTCTTGAGAGCCTCTAGTTTTAAAAGGAAATGAGGGATAAAGAAAAATGATATGGCAACTCAACAATGCAATCAACCTGTAAATTAAAAAAGCAAAAAAAAAAAAATGAATTGGAATTAAAAATAAATAGAAATTCTTCAACCCCCACCACCCACCCCTTTTTACTTAATATTTTTTAACACTATTTCATTATATATATTGTCAACATATATAATGTACAATCCAAGCAAATATATGTCAAAATGAAAATCTATAACACTGTATGTACCAATAAGTTGGTATTTTTTTGGGCCATAATAACCAGTAGAGATGGAAAAAATCAACTTATGAATATGGGAAAGAGGTTGTGTGATGTTATAAAACCAGTCTGCAGATATAATATAGAAACTGACCTAAATAGGGTTAAATGATATTTTTTTTCCTTAATTTTGATCCATAAATGACCATATAATTTGAATTTAAAATAAGATTTTAGGCCAATATTTATCTAGAATAAGAAAGACCAAATTACTTTTAGAAAAATGAATCTGCAAAATTTTAATTATAAATTACATGTAAAATTTTTTTTTATTGGAAATGAAATTATTGTTTACCTTTTACATTTTCAGCAACATCAAGTTGTGGTTGGGTTGGTAATGCAAGACAGCAAACAACTTCAACAGAAACTTTACGTCTTCAAGAAAAGGTAAAATGATTAGAAAAATTCCCTCATTAATTATAATGTGAACATTTAGAATTCTTATTTTTGTTTTACTTTGCTACTTTGTCAAATTGGTTTGAGATTATTTCAGTTCGTGAGGAACTGTTGCGAAGTCAATTAAGTTAACTAATACTTGTCAATTAGAATTTATTGCTTAATTTACAAGTATTCAAAGAGCGATTAAAAGTTCAAATAAATGTTTTTCACTGAGACACTGGCCGAGATCTGACGAATTCTGGTGTGATCGAATTGTGTCTTGAAGTCCAAAATGAGAGATCTTATATAGTCTAGTGGTCCATACAAACGGTCCATAGCTGTAGGCCGGTTACGTAGTAGTCTGGTTGTGGAGTAATACTAGTCTGTGGTTAATTGTCAAACTATGCAATTAACCCCTGACGGATACATGTTATTTCACAGTAGACATGGTCATTTAGTGGCTGCAGGGTATATGTCAATAATATTCGTACAGATTGTTATTAAGTGTCTAAAGGTTACATGTAATCGTCTCGGTTTTGCTGTATGTAGTTACTTCCTGATGATTATCGTATGGAACACAATTGTGTTACATAATGCCTTCCCTCCAAAATAGAACGAAAGTTCAATAAAATACGGTATTTTTCTTCCTGTAGGTTATTCTAATAGTTTATTGTAAGGTTTCCGGTAACCATCACCACATATCTAAAGTTTATAAAGTTCTACGAGTCCAATATCATGATATAATAAGTTCATCACATTCATCAAGTCTAATAGCTGGATATATTTACACATAGTTCATTCGAATCATAAGTTCCATATTTCGGTATACATAGTTCATGTTTTATTTCCATCACCATCATAGTAAGTTGTTCCTCAATACTGGGTAGGAACGCAAATGTTTATACAATTCTATTTACACAGTTCATAGGGTCACTTTTAAAATTATTTACACGGTTCGTCTTCTGCTAGTGGATTCGGTCGTCTACGTTGTATGGTTTACAATCCAGTCCTTTTACGAAGTAGTCGACGTATCTAGCTCTGGGTACATCTTTCTCAAGAGACTGGTCGCATCGGTCTTCGGTCTTGCATCGTCTTTGAGTAATGGTGCAGAGGGAATCTTCTCTCTGGAATCAGGTACTTCTGTCCCAACCATTTGCGTTGTCACCATTTGGTACCCATCGTTCGTGGCATTAGAACCCGAACTCACACCTTTCTTTTTGGCTAACCAAGATTTGTTTCTAAAAAACTTACAGTACAAAAATATAGCTATTCCAATGAATATCGCACCCAAACCCAGGGATAAACCTACTCCCCAATTTGGAAATTCAAAATCGTTTTCAATTCCCCTTAAATTTCTAAGTTTTTCAATCAAAGCGTTCATAGGAATTTGTTTAATCGCCTTTAGTTCTCTTGGTAGTTCAAGCTTTGTAAAATTTGGCAAAGCAGCATGAAAGGGTTCCCATAAACTTGTATTCAGTACTTGAAAGGTATTTAAGAATCTTTCGAACGTTTTTTCTGTTAAAAATGTACTTTCCATTTGATAAGTAGGTAATAAGGTCAAATGATCACTCGTAGCGGTACAAGTTCGCTTTAAATTAATTATAGTGGTAGGAGGATTAATTATCTGATCCGTCAACATGTTTGTATTGTCATCACATCTAATAGTGATTCTAAATTCATTAATGGTTGTAACTGCCCACATACTATCGGTCAAATAAGTTGCCATAGGCAAAATTGTGTTTGGTCGTACTTTCACTGTACATCTTGTTTTCCAATTTTCTTTATTGGCAAATAAGGCTATGATACATAATTTACTTAAATTAACTGGATAAACTGGACTTTTAATTTCACAAAAATTAACTAAAGGATTGGAACACTTGTCAATTTCATTGGTATTTAGCAGCATATATTTAGTTTTTTCTTGGTTTGCAGCAATAACTTCTGCTTCTAATTCATACTGAGCAACCATGTTGCTCGAGTCAGATTGTTTATCAGTTATCGTAGTAGGAACAGGCAAGTTGTGAATCTTATAAATTTCATAAGTGTCTCTTATATCTAGTAATGGTAACGTAATGATAATGATTATTTTGTTTTCGTCCAAAACTGTACTACAGGTCAAAAATTTATAAAAATTCCAAATATCTTTAACTTCGTCACCAGGTATCTTTAATGTCGCCGGTAGTCGTCGTTTTATGTCAGTCAATAATACTCGTAAATTACCGGGTGATATAAGACTGGGTGACATGTGTCCTAAGGACAACATGTTTAGTTGTAATTGCAAATGGTTTAAATAATCCCCGGCTATATTCATAAGGTCCTTTATTTCACCTATTATCATGTCCATATGCAAATAAGCTTGTAAATAACTTCCCATAACTTCAATTTGTTTTTCTAAATCCGTAGCAAAAGTTTGAAGTCTATTTCCAAGATCTTGAACACTTTCAATCAACTCATTAACCTTGTGTCTATTTTCAGAAACATGTGTTTGTGTAGTGTTTAAGATAGTTAACCCATCTTGAACAATATGACGAATTGCATCTTGATTTTGTGCCAAAGTTTTGATATTTCTTCGAATTTTTGACAGGTCGCTGTCTGATACAGTACCAAATAAAAAACTTAATGCTTTGCCTATAATAGGAAATAAGCTACGTTTAGTTTTAAACTTTGCCGTTTCGTCGTAATATAAAGATTGGTAATCATTGAATTGTGATTGTAAATAATCTTTAGTCCGATTTAATCCTTCAACCTCCCTTTGTAGACTTAAGATAGTAGCCAAAATGTGTTTTTTTTCTGGGGTGTAAAACATAGAAATTGTGTGAACTTTTTGTGTAGCGAGAAAAGCCTTGCCCAAGTCTTGTTCTATTTTATTAAGAAATAATTCAAAAGGATCCAAGTCTACGACAAAAGTAATGAGCCAATTTGACCTTGTGGTTGATATTTCCTTAATTTTTTGAAACATGACATTTTCCTTGACAATGAATTGGCTGGTTAAGCCAAAAAGAACAAGTGAGAACCACCACCACTTCATCACTGGTTCTCCCTAAAAATAATGATACATATATAAATTATCATAATATATTTTATTTATCTGGCCTTTATCAATTTTGGAATTCATATGATAGTCCTGAATAAAATGTTTGGTTGTTTTCCTTCACAGTCTCAAATTTAATTATCAGATCGAAAATGCGTATCCGGTGCATTTTCCTTGCCTTGTTTAGAATCTCTTCTTGGTGGTAAACCCCAAAGCGATTGGATCGTTTTAACCATCCAATGGCTTTGAAGTTCTCCACCGTCCACTTCCTAAGATGCTCCTGATAGGATAAGTTATGTATTTCGGCAAATTGTTTCCGGCGTCCAATTATTTCTGCGAATTTTGTGGGTAAACCACAATAATTGTCAATTATAATTGGATCCGACAGGTTAATAAGCTTCTGTATAGCGTGGAATTCCTTAAATAGAGGTTCCCTTCTCTTTCTATCTAGTATTTCCCGGAAATAATTGATCTTAAATTGTACATATATGTCCCACCATAAATTATCAGGTAATAGTTTCCACAAATAGAGGGATTCTAGCTGGGCAAAGCTTTCTTCATTGTCTGCCATTCTGTAAAATGAGAATAAATACTAGTTTTATTACATAGCTTATACGTTTTAGAAATTTTTAAATGATTTGCATCCTTCTTACGACCTATAAAACCAATTGATACCTACATAATACCTATTAAAGCCCTTACTAAATTTTGTACATGTTCCTTGGTTACCAATTTTGTTTCGTTAGCCCCATTATCAGTTGGTTTCCGATTATTTTTTATTTTAACCCGGTTTACAGACATGTTATCTTCCATGTCGGAAATTTCAGATTCAACAGGCGAAGAGTGACTGCTGGACATTTTATCATCAATGTCAGAAACTTCAGAATTAGTAGACGAATTTTCTACTTCTTCTTTTATGATTTGATCATCACTTTCTATTTCACTATTATTGACATTATTTTGTTCTGAGAAAATTTTCTTCCCCCTTAATTTTTTAGATAACTCCATTAATGGTATATCATCTTCTTCATCAGAATTTTCCCTTTCTTTTTTATATCTTTTTGCAATTTGATTTAACGGAGTGTCTGAATCTATGCTTTCATCATCAGAGGAGTCTTCTGATTGTGACTCAATGGGAACTACATATGCAGCTTTACGTAATGTCCTACCTTGATTGTTGTTAGGAATTTCCCAATCTAACTTAGCCAAACGAATTTGTTCAGCATGAGCCTTTGTGGTTGTCCCATCTAACTGATTTTTTAAAATAAAACTAACAGGTGAAGTTTGTTCTATAATCCTATAGTACGGAGTCCATTTTTTTGAAAGTTTGCTTGCCCTTCTATGATTTTTATAAAAAACTGGGTTTCCTACCTCAAACCTTATATCTTTGCTATGTTTGTTTGCGTACTTAGCTTGTTTCTGCTTAGATTTTTTCATGGTTTTATGAACCAACATAAATGATTTATGTTGTTGTTGCAAGGCAATTTTATGATATTCTTCCCCATTGTATTTTCTCCTAGGCTGTAAAATGTTATCTAAAGGTAAAACTGGATCCCTGTTATATAATGCATAAAAAGGTGAAAGTTGGGTGGACTCATTGATATTGAATCTAATTGCTGCTAAAGCTTGGTTCAAGTATAAATCCCAAGTTGTGGAATGATCTTCTATTAATTTTGACAAAACATCATGTAATGTTCTATGAAATCTTTCTATTTTAGCATTACCCTGAGGGTGATAGAATGAAGTTTTAATATGCTTTATATTAAGTTCCTTACAAACTTCCTCCATAGCCTTAGAACAGTTTTCCCCTCCATTATCACTTGTTAGAATTTGAATCCCAGAATGCCTTGAAGTAATTTCTTCAATCAAAAGATGTGCAACATTGTCAGTGCTTTTTGTTGCGACACTAAAAGCTTCTGGCCACCCTGAGTATAAATCGATAAATCCTATAATGTACCTGTTACCTGACATGGTAGTTGGATACGGTCCACTCAAATCTACCCCTACATGACAAAAAGGATAAGGCGGAATTTTTGTTTCCTGAATTGGCGCTCTAACCTTTTGTAAATTGCGTGATTGACAAGGTACACAAGTAGTGACATAATTATACAATTCCTTAAACATGTTTGGCCAAAAATATTTTTGACGAATGGAATCAAATGTTTTGTCAATGCCCATGTGCCCATTCTTATCATGATATTGTTCTACAACTGCTTGTTTTATATGAGAAGGTATGTACAACCTTATAATAGGATCATTATCTACATTTGAAATGTAATAAAGTATGTCATCTATTATGATGTACTTGTTTTGCACTGCCTCGGGTACCTTATCGCTTACAAGTTGTTCCTTTAACTCACGTAATGTTTTGTCTTTCATTTGTTCGATTGACATATCAAATTCTTCAAACTGAAAATTTTCTTTTTCTGGAATATCTTCAACTAATTTATCATTATTTGCATAATCAGAAAAATGAAATCTATTTGAATTAATCACATTAATTTCGTAAGTATTGTCACTAATATCCGGATACGGATCTGGATTTTCGTTTCGTTTTTCATCTGAAGGTAATCTAGACATAAAATCTGCACACACGTTTTGGGGCCCTGGAATATACTGAATAGTACAGTTATAACCCGTTATGTTCAATGCCCACAGTTGAATTTTCTTATTTTGCATTGGTGATTCCAGAATGTATTTCAAAGGTTTGTGATCTGTTTTTATCACAAATTCAGCATTATACAAATAATGATTCAATTTTTGTAAGGCATAATGAATCGCAAAGGCTTCTTTTTCAATGGTTGACCAACGTGTTTGCGTATCACTCAATTTATGAGATAGGAAGTAAATTGGTCTTTCAACTTCATTTTCACCCTCTATTGGGCTGGCTTGTAATTGCGTTAAACAAGCGCCTACACAATTATCACTAGCGTCCGTGTAAAGCACATATGGTTTATTCAAATCTGGATATGCCAATAAGGGAACTTTCACTAATTCACCCCTTAATTTTTCAAAAGCAAATTGACAAGTGTTGGTCCAATCAAAAACCTTGTTTTTCCTAGTTAAGGCAACTATAGGCTCCGCAATTTTTGAAAATGAAGGTACAAATCTGCGATAATAACTCAAACAACCTATTAATCCTCTAACTTCCCTGACATTCGAGGGAGCTTTCATGCCTTGAATGGCCTTAACCTTTTCAGGATCCGGTTTTAGTCCATCTTTACTTATTATAAAGCCTAAGTAATTAGTTTCATCTTGCAAAAAATTACATTTTTTCAATTTTAATTTTAGTTTGTGTTGTCTTAATCTATCAAAAACTTGTTGTATGTGGCCTAAATGTTCTTCCACTGTTTCGGAAAATATCAAAATGTCATCTATGTAAGCAGTTGAAAAATGTTCTAACCCTTGTAGTACCTCTGTAACTAATTCACTAAATAAACTGGGCCCTGAGGCGAGACCAAATGGCAATACATTGAACTCAAATAATCCCTTGTGACATACAAAAGCAGTCTTTTCCTTATCCGACTCTTTGACCTTTACCTGATAATATCCTGACTTTAAATCAAGTGATGTCATTACTTTGGCTTTACCTACTGAAGCAAGCAAGTCATCAATCAGGGGCAACGGAAAGGAATAAATTTTACTGGCTGCGTTCAGGCTGCGATAGTCCACGCACATCCTTGATGTTTTATCCTTTTTAGAAACGATAATAATAGGCGCAGCCCAAGCCGACCTAGATTTCCTAATAATATTAGCCTCTAATAATTCCTCAATAGCCTTATCTATTATTTTTCTCTGATTGAGAGGGGCCCTATAGGGTTTTAATCTGATAGGTGGATGATCCCCGGTATCAATAGTCATTTGCACTGTATCAGTGCACCCCAAATCTTTGTCTGAAGTTGCAAAAATATCTTCATTATCCCTTAACATTCTAAGTATATCCTTTTTAAATGTTCACAACTGTCTTTAAAGTTGAATTGTTCGAATGTTCATATCGTCACACGGACACGTGATCGTATAGTGGTATAACTGTTCGGTCCTGACTGAGTAATTCGGATGGTTAGTTAATTAATTCCAGCCTACCCACAAGGGGGGGAGACCTTGGCGGAATCTCCTGTCGGAATCTATCTGTACGAATCTATATCCGTTCGAGTCCAAAGCTGGATCTTATATAGTTCAGTGGGCCATTAATCATCTTTAAACTATGGCCCATAACTGTTGGCAGGTTGCGTAGTAGTCTGGATGTTGAATAATACTAGTCTGAGGTTAATTGTCAAACTATGCAATTAACCCCTGACGGATACATGTTATTTCACAGTAGACATGGTCATTTATTGGCTGCAGGGTATATGTCTATAATATTCGTACAGATTGTTATTAAGTGTCTAAAGGTTACATGTAATCGTTTCGGATTTGCTGTATTTAGTTACTTCCTGATGATTAACGTATGGAACACAATTGTGTTACAGAACCACTAGTGATAGGTATATGATATTTGGTATGCAGTTGTATTTTCATGGAGATTTACTGCCCCCCACCCCCTTTTTTTCATAGTCAGCGTCTTATTGACTTAGCTTAGTTCACATCTATTAGTTTGTGATTAGGTCAGTTTATGAGATTAACTAGTGGTATGTCAATGGTATTTGGTATGCAGTTGTATTAGAATTGCTATTTCTCATTTCCATGGAGTTTATATGACCCTGCACCATCAGTCATGGGTCATTGACTTTGAATATTTTGCACAGTTTACATATTTAAATATTGCCATTTTAATTTCAACATTTGCAATTTACTAGCAAAATTTCAAAAGGTAGACATATCTCTGTCAACAGTTTATGAATATAAACTGAAGGTTCATCCTTTAAATGTTCTTCAAATATTACAGAAAAAAAAGATCAAAGGAAGAAGGCAAATAAGTTGATCTTCGTCATACAGATACATTTTTTAGTAATCTTCATACAGCATAAATTCCATTATGCATGTATACAAAAGAAAGCAGCAATTTATATTGGAATCACCTTGTTTTCAGTAGGTACTGGCATATTCCACATTCTTTTTGGTTCTGATCTAAGTTTATTATTGGGTATTCGATGTAGCAGGAAATGGACCTTCTTAAAAACTGGGGAAACAGGATAATAAATTCATGAAATATTCTCACATTTTTCAAGTTTGAACATATAATTGCAGGAACAAAGGATAATGCAGCTTCAAGAAGAAGTATCCCGTCTACGTGCTATGGATATGGAAGCTTATAAAAAAGACCAACAAATTCAATTATTACAGTCTCAGCTCTCAGAGGCTCAACAGAGGATATATCAACAGCCTTTGATAATGGGAAGTGACCCTGACTTCACACAGAGAATAGTTCATTTAGAAAATGAAGTCACTGCCAAAAAGGAGGAAATTGCAGCTTTAAGGGAACAGGTATTGAAATTATCTTTGACAAATTTTTGTTGATTTGTTTTTTTTTTAGTAATTTTCATGTACATGTATTTGTAATGATTGTAAAAGTGAGCTGTCCAAATTATTAGGAAAAAAATGAAGAACAAAAAACATTGACGCAAATAATTTGTAGCAAAAAAAAAATGTTTAAGACAGGCATTTGAAAATGCAAAGTGTTCTTATTAAATCATCATTCCATTGATCAGTATTTGTTCACTTTAATGCATTTGAGAATTAAATTTACCATATTGTCAAACTTAAGCTAGCCTTGTTCTGTTTAATTTTATAGGAACTTGAGGAGGTAATTCTAAGTTAATCACAATTTATTCACTAAAATGTCCATCCATTAATTTGATAGATAGTAATAATTGATAGGTTAATACTGGTTTAGCTAGTTAGGAGAAATTAAATTCATGGTTAAATTAGGTTTGGGCTAAAATTAGATTCAGAAATATGATATACCAAATGGATATTATCTTTGTATTTTTGCTAGCCTTACATTATTTAGGATTTTTTACCATATAGTCTGCTTCAGGCTAAAATAAAATGTTTACTATCTGAAATTGCTGTTTAGCACCATAATTAAAATGTTAAAATTCAAAAATTTTGGATTCAACAGGAAATATAGAAGTTCAAACTATTTTTTGGAGGGAAAGTGTTTAGCAACTTTAATTATTCTTTTTTTTATGTACCAGGAAGTGTGTGTTTTGCCAAAAATAAAATAAAAAACTTCTTAGCTTCAAATCCAGAATTCTTTCTTTAGATAATTTTTTAAAATATATAATTGTTTGTGTCTACACTTAACACTAGTGTGAATGTCTGCTAATTATAACTGTTGTACATGATTTGACCCATGATGTAGGCTTACTAATGTACCTGACATTTTAATGGAGAAAAACAGCTATCTTTGTAGCTTTAAGCCTTTTGATGTGTGACAAAATATTGCAGTTATCTCCCTTAGTGAGAAAGATAGTTTTCAATTAACACATGAATTTATACATCTTTGATTTTAGTTGGAAGGGTATAAAACAATTATAAAGAGGTTTTGATAATTGAAATAATTTGTTAAAACAATGCAGAGAATTGAAAACTACTTTTTATAAGTCATGGGTCAAATATAAATGTTGTGAATGTTTGTTTTTGTTCATGCTAGATGTAACTTGTTGAGACAAATAAAGTTATGTTTCATTTGGAACAGGTCTTCAAAAATTGGAAAAAATATTTACCTACAAATTTGGCAGTATTAAAGGCAATATAGGAAAACACAAATTTATAAACCATAAGGATTGAATGCCATGCCAATTATACAATCACTAGCTAAAGATCATTGTAAAAGAATGATGATCTAAAGCATTTTGTCTTCAAAATTGAGTGACCTTCCATAAAATATGACTGTCTATAACTTACATCACCACTCCATTTCCTTCGAGCCATTCAAAAGGAATTATTTAGTCAAGTTTAGGTAAATAAAGTAAATTAAAAATGGAATAGGGTGACTAACAGTTAGCTACAAGTTCCTGACTTAGCACAGACACATTTGTTTAAATTTGGTACAGATTTTGCAATGTATGGTTTAAGGGTAGAGGTTTTGTGGGTGCCATTTCTGCTTTGCTTTTGCAAATTTATGTTGATGAAGTTGAAGACTATTTTGATTTCAAAGGAATATTTAAACATAAAATATAATATCTTACAAAGAAATTTGAATAAATATAACAGATTGTATTTGTTTGTTTGCCAGCAATTTTTTTTGTCCCATTTTAAATGTTTAAATGAAAAATTTGTGAAGTTTAGTTTATATAACAACATTGTCTTGTAAATGTTTGTGCTCATCATACATTGAAATAATTTATTTTTAAAAAGTATGTAATTATATCTAAAAATATTTCCTTCTGTGATAAAACCTTCTCTTTTGTTTCCTCTTCAAGATCCTGTAAAGTTGTGCCATAAAATTTTCACTTAAACTTTACAGCTTGTATTATTGCAATCCACTGAGACAAAAGTCCTCCTTCCTGAAGAAATAGCAGAGAAAAATAAAGAATTAAACAATGTTAGAAATGAGTTGGAACGTGTAAAAAAAGACAAGGGCATTACAACTGGACTTGTCACCCAGATGCAGCGTGATATGTCCAGCAAAGTAAGTCAGACATGACTTCTTGAGTCGGTTGATACACAAATGCATGCTTTGCTTTTTCTCTGTAATTCTTGAAGGTTGCAGTTTGGGTGGAAGATTTTGCACCAGCACTTAAATGCACCTCACACATTTGTTTCATCTAATTTTTCTCTTAATATTAATAAAAGTTGTTATTATCTATGAATTACAATCCATGCTTTATTTTCATTCTTTTTTTTCTGTGTGTATAACCATAGACGATATATATGCTTTTTTTCTGTGTGTTTAACCATTGATGATATATATGCTAGATATTTTTTTATAAAACAACATGAGCTGTGAATTCATAATATCAACTGAGTACTAATATAAAGAGATTTAGGAGAACTTGTTATTCCTAGAACTATTTCAGTTTTGTTGCTTTTACATTATGTTAGTCTTACTTAAAATCTTTTTAATAATTTCATCTTTTTTTTAACATCATATCAATAAAAATTGGTATACTTTTAGTAATAACGAATTTACAGCATTATATATTCCTTAACATATACCATGTTCACTATTGTGTGTTATTTTTTGCTGGGTGCAAGGCTAATTTTTACTAGCTTATTAAAATTGGCTGAAGTAGAGATACAGAATAATTCAGAATCAGATATTTGTATTGAGCTATATTTACCATACTTTTGATTGTATTTAACTTGTGAATTTGAGCTTGTAGAATGCATATTTCCATATTGCTGGTTTGTAAGAAAATTTTATGTAAGGTTCATGTTCAGCCCCTTTTTTAATCAGATGTTTTTATTTTTAATAAAAATTCCCATTTTTCTGACTGCCATTTTATTAATGAATTCCCTCTTTCTCCATCTTCATTTGTAATGTATGAAAACCTTATGTACTTTATTCTTATTTAGTTTAACAGAAAAAAATCACCATTAAAGTTAGAAAATTGAGAAAAAAAGGTTATCAAATTGCAGAATAAAATAATTGGGAAAAAAACAAAAAAAGTTACAGATAATTTTTAAATATTCACATGCTAAAAATTATTGCAATAACTGGCTGGTTTTTGTGTGTGTATGTGCAAATCTTTATTCATTATTACTTGTACAATATGAATGTCAAGCAACAGTAAAAAAATGATATAATAATAATTGTTTTCAGGACTCAACAATAAGTAAATTTACAAGAGAAATAGAAACATTAAAGAAAGAGTTAAGAGAACGAGACACACAGATAACTACAATTACAGCAAAGGTAAAATTTAGTTTTTTTTTACACCATAAAAACATTCAAATGTTAAGTAGTCTTTTTGCTTTTGGTCAAATAACTAGTACCTAGTGGGTACCATTTTTGCAGATTGAGGAAAAATTGTATTTTTTTGGATATTTATTCTGCTTTCACTAAGGTAGCCAATTAGTAGATGTAGCCAAATATATAATTCATATCCTTTAAAGTCTATATTTATTCATTTATTTATATTAGTTAAACAAGCCAAAGGATACACCACGTACAACAGAAGATAAAGATGCCAGAGAAAAAGAACTCATAAGTCTAAGACAGGTAAGTGATAACTCAATGCTAGAAAATTTTAGTGTGATCCTGTATTTGTTATTACCACACCGGTATTATATATTGTATTCTTGTAATGTATTGTTTGTATAACTGAATTATGATTGTATCTTTGTCATTGTCCCCTGAGGGACCTTAATTGGAATAAACACATATTGTATTGTATTGTATTTTATTGTATTAGAAAGAGTGTGAATCTTTTTCAGGATTTATAATAAGTTACATTTGAAAAATACTACACTTTATTTTTTAACTTTTTATAGATCTTGTGTAGATATGAAGTTTTCTTTTTTTCTCTTTTAATCTATAAATTGTATCATTTCATTATATGTGTTTCAACTGAAAGCTTTAGACAATGGATATACTGTTACAAATTAAAACAAGTTTACATATTTGGCATAGTTGGACATTTTAAAGCAAACTTGTGGAGGGTAATCAAGCAGTTAATCAATGAAATTCAGTCAGGAAAATTTAAAAATTATTCTTTTATATTTAATGACATAAATTTATCTTTCAGAAATTCAAGTCAGCAGAAAACAAAACACAAGAGCAACAAGATCTGATTGTCAGTCTGAAGCAAGAACTTGAAAAAATGAAACTTAAAGTGTATGAAGAACAAAGTGTTCAGAAGAAACTTGAGATTGATGTAGAAAAAGTCAAAGCAGAATTGATTGATGTTCAGAGAGCTGAAAGGATGGTCAGGGTAGATATGGAACAAGCTTCTAAAAAAGTAGGTACCAATTAATCTTGAAATATTGATATTCATCTTTTGCTATTGAGTTTATTAATGTATTTGCCTGTTTTAGAAAAGTGGAATTTTCAACTTGGTGCTTACTTTTCTTTTTAACATATGAAAATTTAATCAGTAGTAAAGCATTGCCATATGCTACATTCATAACATGTATTAGACCGTTGGTTTTCCTGTTTGAATTGCTTTACACTGGTCTTTTTGGGGCCCTTTATAGCTTGCTGTTTTGTGTGAGCCAAGGCTCCGTGTTGAAGGCCGTACTTTGACATATAATTGTTTACTTTTTACACATTGTGACTTGGATGGATAGTTGTCTCATTGGCACTCATACCACATCTTCTTATTTATATTTTCACATATATAAAAATAGAAAAGACTTTAAAAAGGTATGGCTGTATGATCCGCATATAATATTATTGTATTACATGAAGATTGCAAACAATCATGAATTTCTACACCTATGCAAGAGAAAACTTGTGGAAAGTAGAGGAAATTTTTTTCTATTAAGTTTCAAATGAATGAATTATAAATGACAATCATCAAAGTTGCAAAGTAAAGTTTGACTGAGAAACAGAAAAACCAGTGCACATTATGGAAAAGAAGGAACACAGTGTATTGATTCATGGCACAAATTCTTTAAAACAAAACCCAAAGCAAAGAATAGCCTATTTATTGCTGTTCTTCATCCTGAAGCCATACCGAGATCTGTAACATGAAGTGTATGCTTGCATCTCACTGCAAGTTAAAGACTTCCCCTAGAACTGGATTTAGCTGAATTATTTGCTAGTTGTTGATAAAATTACATGTAAGTAAAATTGAGAATGGAAACGGGGAATTTGTCAAAGAGACAACAACCTGACCAAAGAGTAGAAAACAGCACATTTTACTGATATCCTTGAATGTAATCAAAACTATATGCACAAATATATTATAGTGCTCATTTGGAAATAGTACAAAATTTCCTGAATAATTATAATTTCCTTTTTGACCATAATTCATAAAGCATTAATATTGAATCCTTTCCTAAATTTATGTATATTTCAGGCTGAAAGATTTCACAGTAGGATTGTACAGACAGCATTTTCTACTCCTGGAATTAAAGCACCAGAAGCAGAAATTAGTGATGATGAACTTGTTGAAACTTTGAAAAAATTAATTGATGAACGAACAGATTTCTATAAGAAAATTAAGGACTTAGAAGCAGACTTGAAATTAGCGGAAACCTCTACTAGTAAATTAAAGAAAACAAATGGAAAACTACGCAGTCAAGTGGAAGAAGTTGTTGTAAGTTTTCTTTAGTAGTTATCATAATGTTTATATTTTGACAAATCTGAGTGATTTGGGGCTACCCAAGCCAAAACATGGACTTTGCCATTTCTCTGCCTATTACTGCCATTCTCTGCATAAATCATTTGGAGATGTCAGGCGACACCATTCTTCCTTGGAAGACTCAAACATATTTGTTATATAATGAATTATACAATCAATACTTTGAGCATTCCATAATTTATACCCTTCCTCAGACTTTTCTGTGTTTTGTTAAAACCAATTTTGATAGAATTTCTATAGAATTTGAATTTCGGTTAGTGAAAATAATGCTCAAAATAAGTTTGTACATATGTACAAATTAATTTGATTCTGGATTTTTATGCCCCACCTATGATAGTAGTAGTGGCATTATGTTTTCTGGTCTGTGTGTCCGTATGTCCCGCTTCAGGTTAAAGTTAGTTTTTGATGAAGTTGAAGTCTAATCAACTTGAAACTTAGTACACATGTTCCCTATGATATGATCTTTCTACTTTTAATGCCAAATTAAGAGCTTTGACCCCAATTTCACGGTCCACTGAACATAGAAAATGATAGTGCGAGTGGGGCATCCGTGTACTATGGTCACATTCTTGTTTTTAATTTTTGAATAAAATAAACCAAAAACTAAATAAATCTTTAAAGACAATTTTTTGTTACAAACAAATTTTTCAGGTGTAAGTTATTTTTCCCGTTGGAAAAAGCTATTTTTCTAGCTTTTGTGTTTAAATTTAAAGCTGACTTGTGTGGAAATTTAAAAAAAAATCTATTGTTATACAATTAATAAAACGAAAACAAATACTAAACAAAATCTAACCTCATGTCATCTGTTGATGAAAGCATGTGTTAAATGGTTAATTTATTTGTTGTTTTTCTTTTTGCAGTCACATTTGAAAGAGAATGGATTTTCCTGCAGTTCAGTCAAACAGGAAATTAGTTTATTGCAGTCATCATCTACAGATGAATCCAATGTTTGGGTTAGAGATGCTCTTGTTAGTATTCTATCTGGTGCTAGTTCATGGGAGCAGCATATTGACAATGCACTGGAGAAATGTGGTGTTAATGTACGCTTGTCTAGTGATGGTGAGTTCATGCAGGTTATTTAATATATTGAATGCACAATTTAAGTATAGTCAACTTAAGCTACCAACCCTGCTGCAAAGTCAATTTAATATTGGTTTATGCAATTAAAAATTTGAAGAAAAAATTGCTGGTGGACTATGTCAGTTTTTCAGATAGTTTATTAAAAGGTTTTTTGATGTAATTTACGTTTGGTAAATTTTCTTTGTTCCAATGACAATATTGATAATATGTATTGGGCAAGTGCACATTCTTAAAAGATAGTGGAAATTTATTTTTGAAAATAGTGTAACACATTGTAGAAATCAGTTAAAACTTGCATGGTATATTTTGTGCAATGAGGAATTATGAATCCAGCTCCTGTGTTTGGTGATCTAAAGCAGAAGTTTATGGATATTAATATGTTATGAAAGCATGTCTGACTTTATGAATCAATGCATGTGTTTGTTTTTGTATTGGGGATATGTACCAATCCAATAATTGGTAAACTATTTATGAAAGGCAACCATTTAGGAATTTTTTCAAGTGAAGAAACAAAAGCATTATTTCTTCAGACCCATAACAGAGTGAATTTTTTTACCTATGTTTTTAAGCAGTTTCAATGCATTTCATTCTTTTATATCTATTTACAATGTTTAGATTTGTATTAAAACTTTGAATACTGTAGATAACATTTTTATTACTTATCATTTTCAGGTCCTGATAAACACATTCTTTCATTATTTTCTAAATGGGAAGCATCAATAAGTGAAAAGGAAAGACTTGTATCACAAATATCTACATTAGAACAACAATACAAAGCAGACTTAGAACGACAAGTCAGTATCACAAAATCAGATTCAGACAACAGGGTTACAGATGCTGTGGAAAAAGCCAGACTAGAAGGTAAAATCATGAACTTTGTAATATCATATGTGCAAATTTATATAAACTTAACCCTTTTTTCAGTCTATTGTTAGTTTTAAGAATGTTGACAGTTTCAAAAGTATGATAATTTTAAGGTATTGGCCAGATTGCCGTGTAAGGTCTATTTTCTTCTGAAAAACATTGGCCACATCCTTTGACCAAAACTAATCTGTTATGAACAAGTTTGTATGGGTCAGATACACATTATAGCAAAAAATCATTGTGGTCCATTCTGAAATGATTCTTTATTGCTTTTTTTTACTAAAAAAAAATAAACAAGTTTATAGGTCTTACAGGAAATACTTGCTTCTTGCTTTAAAGTTTTCAATTTGATAAAAAAAAAAAAGATAGTTTATGAATATGACATGAAATTCAAAAATAGAAAAAGTCAAACAAAAAAAATCAAAAGTGGGATTAACAGAAATATTGGAAATATCATGAATGAATTTACCTTGAGCAGCTGAAGAAAGATTGAACAGAGCACTGGAAGAAATTAAAGCAGTAGAGGAGGAAAAGAGAAGAATAGCTGTGGAATCAGAACAGACAAAGTTAGAAGAACTACAGGAAGTGATCGACAAACTTAGAATGGTATGTATATAATACATGTATGCATATAGTATGCTTAACAATGTACTTAACAGTGAACAACAATGAAACATTTATCCTGCAATCAGCTAATTATTGTACAAATAGCATGCACACAAATATATTTTTTTTGTAATAAATTGCAGGATAAAAACAATATATGTACATATGTGTATATCAGAAATATAAAATTTATTTGTTCTCATTATGAAACAGGAGAAAAGTTAGGCAAGCCTCGCTTTTTGTCCTGTTTGTAAAGCTCTAACAAATAAATTTTATATTTTCTGACAATGTACATATATTGTATATGTATGTGTATTTCTATTATTATTTGATTGCTATTTTACTTCATAAATGCATTGGAACTTGCACATTGTTTTGTGTATTACAGGACTTTAGTTCTACTATAATGCATAAATGTTGAAGTGTGTCAGTCTTAGATGAAAATACTTATCAAATATAGATTGATATTAATGTGTAATGTATCTCAAATTATATTTTTTAATTAATTTTTAACCCATACTATGTTCTTGTAAGAACATTGTGGAAAGCTGTCTTTATTTAAAAAAAGTACAAAAAGAAAGTATAAAACATACACAAATTATAACATAATGATTAAATAGAAAAAAAAGGAAGTAAGATGTCACATATTAGATTAGCTCTTATCAGATTTTTAAATTGAACTCTACACAAGACCACTCCTTTTATAGAAGTATTTACAGGTTCATTTTGGTATCAATGTTGAATTATTTTCGAAACAAATGATAAGATTTAATATCTGCATATGATATAGCTATAATAACATGTTATCTTAAATTTTCAGGATCTCATGGAGAAGGAATCTGGGAGCAAGGAACAACTAGAGGAAGCTTTATCACAAGTGTCAGAACTAGAAACATTGAAATTGACAATTGTAGAATTAGAACAACGCAATGTCGTATTAGAAGCAACAATTTCTGAATCTTCTTCAAAATATGTGTCAGATTCAGGAGAACGGGAAAAGAAATATGAACAAGATTTATTGTCTTTCAAAGAACAAACTAAACAACATTCTGTTACTATTTGTGCAATGGAAGAAAGATTGAAAAAGTTAATGAAGAAAAACAAAGAATATCAAGATGAAATTTCTTCACATAAAAAGACAATACAAGGTGAGGTTATAGTTGATGATAAAGCAAAATGAAAGCCACAACATAGATTTTCGGCCAGGTTTTGTCCAAAACCAGCTTATAGTATGGTGATGGTGGGAGGGTGCGCGTGAAAAAATGGGTACCTAATATGTGTAATCAACTCTTGCTACAGTTTTCCACCCAGATCCCTGAAACTTCACAGGAAGCTTGCACATATGTTGAAGTTTTGCATCTGCTTTTATGGAATTGTTTGAAGTTTTAATTTATTTCGTATTTCAAATATTTAAATGTTCAGTATAAAGCATTCTCCATTGTTTAAGAAACATTCTATGGAACTCGACCATTTAGGTCTTTGATCTATTTTTCAACTTGGAATGATGGGAAATTTTCATTGTCATATTATTTGTTTTAAATCAAAATATCAAGCAACCTATGACACAGAATCAAAGCATAGGGTTGGTAATCCAATGGCAGTGACAGCATGAGCTTTATATATAAAGCTTCATATTTCAGAAGGTTGAAGCTGGATAATCCATATTGGTATACATGATTATACCTTGATTGGTCTGAAGCTATGTCTGGCATATGTCTGTTCTAGTACTCATTTTCATGGTTCATAAAGTTTTCATAATGTGGTCCGTTTATGATACAATAAGCAATAGGTCAACTTTACTTGGTTTATAGAATGATTGCTATGTGTACATGTCCATCTGACCTTGATCCCTTAAAGATTTTCAATACAAAATTCAATCAATAAAGAACAGTGAAGTAGGTGACACATTTCATATTAGGTTTTAAGCTTGTTTAAGAAATGGATAATAAATTGTCAATTGCTTAACATTGTTCAAGGTTTGTGAATATTTATCATTAACCATAACCATATCGAATTTAATTTTTAGAAGTTATTTCTATGATATAGCGATATATGCAATGAATATAGGGTTCAACAGTTTGATGAATTTATTGTATTATGGTTGTTTCAATATATTTATCAGGAAGGACAAATTTTGGTTAATGCACTTTAATGTACTGAAACTATTTAATAATTACAAAAATAAATTGATTTACAGATATGAAGATACAGATGAATGATCTCAGGAATAGAGCCACTGCCAATGTTAGACCTGACATCCCTCCAAAGCCAAAGGTCATAGTCCAGAAACCTACACAAGATATCATAGCCATGGAACAACTCATTGTTATGTTAAGGTAAGACCCCATGATTTTTTATTAAGAGACTTGGAATCTTACGTTTAGAATGAAATTAGTAAATAGGTGAATACATATTGGTTATGGAAAGCAGGTACTAAGGTAAAAAAAAACATGAGTAGGTCTTGAATACATAATGCAGTTTCAAAAAAAAAGGACATAAGGTCTTTCATTCGTCACAAAAGCTGCTGAGTTTTAAAAAAAGCATATCTTTTGCTGCATGCATTTTTATTGTAATAATTGGATTATATATATACTTACATGTGAACAGATTTTGTAATTTGTAAGAAGCAAACATGAAAAACATGATTTACAAAATGGTATTTTGGTTTGAAAAAGCATACTCCAATGAGATTTTACAAAGTGAAGATCTTGACATATAAAAAGATCATTAATTGAATCAGAGACAATATTATAGTTGATTTTTAATTGATTTCAGGAAAGAGAGCGGTGATTTGAAATTAAAACTACAAGATCAGGATGATTTGATTCTTGGATTACGACGAGATTTAGCAGGAGCTCATGCTAGATTATCAGATGTTACAGGTAAATATCTAGTCAGATCACCTGTACCAATGTTATCCAAAGGAAAGTGCTATTCTGGTGTTTGAAAACTGCCATTCTTGATTGAAAATCAGCTTTCTTCTAAATTTTTGATTTATTCTTGTAAAACTACAAATGTATATCTCACAGAATACTGCACCTTTTTTTAATTTTCCTACTTTAAATCAACTCTTTTTATGTAATACACAAGCATTTTCATCTTTATTCTATGTTCAGAAATAGGGATGGAAAATTTTTGAGCATAAATAGATATGTTATCTATATTATTCAGGAGTTTGATATTTCTTTTGAATGTAATATTTCAGCAGAATTTATACTAAACTCTTCATTTATTGTGCAAAACGTTTCATCTTTCAAAGCATATATGCAACTTGGAAGGTAACACTTCTAGAAAGGAAGCCCTTTGCAGAAACAGTTTTTCTTTGCCTGTTTATAGCAAAATTTTCTCTGTCTTGTAGGAGAATTAAGTGAAAGCCAGAAACAGGAAATTGAGAGAAACAAGGATCTGTTGTTACAGAGAGAAAGAGAACTTATGGACATAAGACAACAGTTGGCTAAATTGTCTAAAATTATAGATAAACAGAAAGAAGAGATGAAATCAGTGGAATGTGATCTCAGGTATGTCAACAAAACAAACATGTAAACAAACAATAGAAATTATATTTGATTAAATATATATTAAAACTTTTGAAGCAATGCTTGTCATTTTGGAATGTATAATGCATTTGTCATGGCTGAAAATTTAAAAAATTTTTGTTTAAAAGTAAAATGAAAAGTATAAACTGTATTTGTCAACGTCTGTTTCAGCTTTAAGCATCTTTATCCATAAGGTATAATTGTTTTGACTATCAATAAATAATATGCCTTACATTATAAAGACAAATGAATCTGCTCTTTTGATTGTTTAGCCATATCTAGCTTTTTGTTAAAGTTTCCGATATAAGAAAATTCAAGTGCTACAGAAAAAATATTTTGACAGTGTGCACAAGTTTTTCAAAAATTTGGTCAACTTGGCCTCAATTTAAACCATAAGTAAGTGTGAATGTCCTGATATAACCAATCACAAATGATAGAGGTTCAGGATGCAAACATCATGGATAGTGATGACGGTCCATGCAGACATCAAATCACTATGACCTTTATTTTACACATTAATAACTTTAAGATGAAGTTTTGTGTTTTGGTCTAAATTTGAACATTAACAAGTCATAGAAGTATGATAGTTTGTCAGTGAACACTTATTAGATGCTGGTAAAGTTATACATAATTACTGGATCACCATGACATTTGGTATGCAAGGTGATTCCAGGAGCAGGATCCAAATTATTTTGTCGTGTTTGTAACAACGTATTAGATTTTAGCGAGAGAAATTTATGTATTACTGAAAAATTATGACACCAGGGTTTTCGATACCATAAACTAGTCAAAACATTTACTAAATTTTATCATCGGTATAAGGACATCATTCGTAAATATAACTCAACATGCAGATATCTTATACGTTCGGGTATTTCACATCCAATCTTTTATGGTAATATTCTTTACAAAGCACAAAAATGTCAGTATTCACCTCAAAAGCTAACAAAACCTTGAAACAGACTTATTAAGAAGGGATATAGTTACGATACTGTTGTCAGGTCATTAAAGATTGCATATTTTGGCTTTAATATTAATTCACTTATAGGGTCTTTGCATCGGAATTAAACACATTTATTCTAAAACCAGTTGTTGGCATGACACGGGTTATGTTCTTCTCATATATTTTATGACAGTATAATACTAAACCCCTAACAGGAGGGATTGTGCCTGATATTCATATGATGAAGACATAATCTTTTAATCAGTTTAATTGAGGTCTGGAGCTGGCATGTCAGTAATTGCTAGTAGTCTGTTGTTATTTATGTATTATTGTCATTTTGTTTATTTTCTTTTGTTTCCTATTCTGACATTGGACTTGGACTTCTCTTATACTGAGTTTTACTGTACGTACTGTTGTGCGTTTGTTTTTTTCTACATTGACTAGAGGTATAGGGGGAGGGTTGAGATCTCAAAAAACAAGTTTAACCCCACCGCATTTTTGCGCCTGTCCCAAGTCAGGAGCCTCTGGCCTTTGTTAGTCTTGTATCATTTTTAATTTTAGTTTCCTGTGTATAATTTGGAGTTTAGTATGATGTCCAATATCACTGAACTAGTATACATATTTGTTTAGGGGCCAGCTGAAGGACGCCTTCGGGTGCGAGAGTTTCTCGCTGCATTGAAGACCCATTGGTGACCTTCGGCTGTTGTCTGCTCTATGGTCGGGTTGTTGTCTCTTTGACACATTCCCCATTTCCATTCTCAATTTTAACTAATCCAGTGAGGAATTAGTTATTGTTTTGATCAGCTCCATTGCTTTCTATATTTTGTTTTGGGAAGGAATAGTACTTGTGATAGAAAAACTTCTTCATATTTTTTCTTTCATGATGTAAATAATATTTTCATATATTTTCTTTAGCAAAGAGAAATCTATATCAGTGAAATACAAGTCACATATCGAGGAAAAATCTAGAAGAATAGTAGAGTTGGAGGGTAAACTATTGGAAAACAACGAAGAACAAAAGAAGCAATTAGATCTTCTTGATCAAGAGGTTTAAAAATTAGTTATATTAGGCTTCTTTTATTTATGAGAATAATTTTTTTTATAGCAAATGAACTGTAAAAATAAATTAATCAAAAACTTCTTTAAAATGATGTTAGAATGTTAGAATTGTTATAATTTTGTAGATAATTTATTGTTAAAAATAAAGAAGAAATTCTGGTCAAATTTAGTTAACAATTATGTGAACTTAAGTAACTATCATTTCTCCATACAGTACTGGTTATTTTATATAAAAAGATAAAAACACATTTACAAAAAAACTAATTCAAATTAGCTGCCATTTTTTTTATATACACTTCTATTTAACCTTCAAGTTTGTATTAATTGAAATAGATGTTTAAATTTAAATCCATTTAATTTTATTTGTTGCAGGGAAGAATTACCTCAGAAATGACAGCTCTCGGTGCTCAGTGTCGTGGAGAAAGACATGAACAGGTTATTACACGACAGAGGGAGGCACTTTCTGAACTGAGGTCAAGGGTCAAGGTCTTAGAACAGGCCAATCCTCCATGTAAGTTTTTTTAGCATACTTAAAGTCAATGCCAGTTAAAGCAAATAATTTGTCATAAAAGGACAGGATGTGGACCCACAACTTATAACAGAATATTTGAATGTATATGGGATGGGAGTTGAATATCATTGCTAAATGGCATTTTTGAATTAATTTATTGACCATTTTGGGTGGATTAAAGAATTGCACTTGAGTCGTGGGAAAAAAGAATACTAAGGATTGTTCAAGAGATAAAAGTTCTTAAATGACATTTTAATAAGTTTTTATGAGTGGTAAACTAACACTAACATTTTCATGCAAAACAAAGAAGAACGATAGAAGTTCATTTTGGTTTATTTACATGTACACAGCCAGATTTTGTAAGGCACAATCAAGATCCTAGTTTGTTTTCTTTCAACACATATACTAATGCCCTTTTCATTGGTTTTACAGTGCCAACAAAGGATCAGGCTTTACAACAAGTATTAGTCCTGAAGAAAGAATTAGCAGAAATGAGAGCCAACCAGGCTTTGTCTGAAGACAGCCACATACTGAATGTATCATCACTAGACCGAGAGGTCAACAGGGCTAGAGGGCTTCTGACAAATGTTAATGCTGAAGCTGACATGGAACGAAGTGCTCATAGAGAAACAATGGATGCCCTAGAGGCTAGTGAAAATACTGTAAGTTATTTAAATAAGCGTTTGAAGTAACAATTTTTATATAAATTTTCATGAAATTTCCAGAGCATTTGAAATAAAGTTTTTCTAAAAATAATTAGATAATGTTAAAGGTCAAATTGAGGTATTGACCCAGTGGTGGTAATCAATATAAGTTATCTACGTTCATATCCGTAGATATGGATATTTTAACACCCTGAAGTATCCAAGTACACCCTGAGGCGCAGCCGAAGGGTGTACAGGGTACTGAAGGGTGTTAAAATATCCATATCTACGGATATGAACGTAGATAACGAATGTATCCCCGGTCTTAGTCTAAATCTGGCGATTTTTAGAGAAATTCGACCACAAAGTTAAACGTGAAAGCAACGTTTTTTTCATTTTTTAAATATCTTTTATTGAAATTTGGGAATTTGACATATTTTTAACGGGGTGTAGGGTACTACCTTTGGTAGAACCCTACAGGTAGACAAATATAAGACGTTTTTAAACTAGAGACAGAGAAACTGAAATGGGTCGAATTTGGCGCGCAATGTTGTGAGAGTTACATCATAAACGGTGTGACGTCAACGTGGGTCATTTGCATAGCTAGGTCAGTAGTACCATTCATTGACAATGTGGCTGCATAGTGACGATTTACTAAAATGTGTGCAAATAATCGATATAATAAGATAAAATCGTTAGTGGATTGAATATTTAATTATACAGACATCATGGAAAATCTACAGAATTCGATATTTCATAAGGAACAACCATGGAACTAAGGAAAACGTGCGTGAAATTCCCCGATGTAATGGGTAGCAACGTCCGGGGATATGGGTAAGCAACACCCAGGGGCTATGGGTTTTGTAACGACGTGCGTTAACCAATCAGAATCCTAGAAATATACTAAGCCGGGGATAAAGTAAATTATACAGAAAGTTCGACATTTAATTCACATGTCTAATTTAACCTTCATCAGGAATTTTCAGCACCAAAACTTTTGGTCATACATTCTAGTGTTACCTTTATGCATTCATATTGATATTTCTCTTGTCAGATTTAGATTGAATTTTTTTTAAATTTCAGAAAAACAAGTGAACGAAGATAAATGATTTATTTCATTTCATATGTTAATCCTCATTTGTTTAAAGAGAGCGTTAAGTAACCAGATTGGGAATTTTATTTTCTCGATAATTTATATTATATATAAATTCAGTATGATAATGAAGTTATCCTTTGTTTCAGTATTTGACACTTCTCAGAGCTATTGCTAGCTGTCTTGATGTTGATTCTGTACAAGGATTACGTCCCATTGGTCACATTCCAAAGGATGAGCGTCAGCGACTGATGGACGAAAGAGAAAGAGCTTGTGAAGCCTTGACTGTCAAAATCAAATTAATTAGAGAAAGAATTGACCGAAAAGATGAACTGTTACAGGGTTATGAGAGAGATCTAGCAAGAATGAGGTATACTTGATTTAGAAACAATGTTAAATGGTCAAAAAGAAAGGTGATCTAAATATGTATGATATATTTGTGACCACTTTTAGGTCTTGTCAGCCACCCTCTTCTGTTTGCTTATACTTTGAATGGACAAAAAACATTTCCTAACAGATAAGTCTAGTTATACTAAAGAATGTCTTCATATTTGGTCAGCTGCTTGAGTTTGTGAGTGTTTTTAAAATATGTCAGAAACTTACTTTTTGCAAGGGCGTGCATTCATATTTATTTATATTTGATTAGAGGAAAACTAAACCTTTTTGAATTGTCAACCATTAGCATTAAAAGATTTGAAGTGTTTATTTGACTAACAAGTTTGCCTTTCATTTGATGTATTCTCTATTTTGATATTCACAAGAAAAAATCTGTCACTAAAACTACTCCATAAAATGCAACTAGATTTGAAGCATGCACTGCTTTTAAAAATGTCATTGAAATTCAATTATGTGTTTAAAGATCAACAAAACCAATTGCATTCATGATTATTTGACCTAACAAATTTCTTTCCTGATTTGTAATATTTGGCCCTATGAAATTATAAGCTAGATGGAGATTATTAATCAATTATAACTCTTTCACTCTTATTTAGGGAACTATGAACAAGGAGTAAGAAGTACAACAACACACACTAATCTGTAATCAAAAGTTTTATATGTGCTGTAAGATAAAAAATGGAATTTTTGTATCAGTTATAAATTTGAATTATGTAAGATGTTTTTACTTCATTGTTTCAGACAAGCAACAGAACTAGCAGAAAAGAAAACTACACAAGTTGATAGTCTAGCAGTAAGTATTGTTACTCAGATGATTTCAATTTAATTGATCAAATGTTTGTATGAGTAGGGCCCTTCTAGTGGCGGGTCGCCCTATAGTGATCAATCTGTCCATCCGTAACAAATTGTGTCTGCTCTATATCTAGAGAACCATTATAATTTCATACTTTATACTTGACATGTATATTAACCAAAACCAGAGGGTGTGTCATAATGTTTGTACAACTTCCTAGGTCAAAGTTCAAGGTCAAAACTTAATAAAGTGCTTCATATCAACTCATCTATACAAAATTTTATACCACATGTTATTTACAGCGAGGCCCACAGAGATGGCTCCCATCTCAATGATGTCTAGTTATAAATTGATAACTTCAATTTAACAGATAGTGCAATATTCTTTTAGCACACTTAAGCAGGAGATATTGAAAGTGAAATTTCTGATTTTTTAAAGCTTATATGTAAAACTTTTACTCTGTAAAGCACTTTATATCAAAAAATAAATAAGAAATGTGCATTTATCTTAAATTTCTTGTGGAAAAGATGTAATAGTTAAACGTGGAATGTACACTTATATCTCTATGTAGATTTCTAATAATTTTATTGATTCTTTTTAGACTGATATAAAGAATAGAACAGAAGAAACACACTACTTACGAGAGTCTTTGAACAAAACAAGAGATAGACTTGACCAGGAACGCAGACTTAATTCGGCTATTAAACAAAGGAAGGTATGTCAGTATGAATTGTAGTGAAATTTTTATGGCAACTACTAAATTATGACGATTTTTATTTACCTATAAATACAGTCAGCATTTTATAGACGTTTACATAGTTTACAATGTTGAAAAAAATAGAAATTCTTGTTAGGATATTCTAATTCAACTAAACAAAATCCAATATTTTGACTTTTTTTACTAGAATAGCATTTAAAATCTGAATATTCTACAACATAAGCTGGTTAAAGAGAGGCAAAAGATACTAGAGGGACATTCAAAATCATAAGTCGAAAACAAACTGACAATGCCATGGCAAAATATGAAAAACATCCAAAAGACACACAACAGTCTACAAAATACAACATTGAAGCCTTGCAGTTGTAAGTTTAAAACAACCAACCTTTAATTCATAAACAGGAAAATAGATGTGGAGACCTAATGCTATGTTTTCTATTGCTCTGTTGACCTGCTGTTTCAATATATACCTCATTATATAAATACATGTTAATAATGATATTCCTTACACAGTGTTATTACATTTCAGACATTCCACCTTGAGAATGAGAAAGCACATATACGACCACCATCACATAGATGCCCTCCAGAGGATATTTTTGGAAAGGTAATTTTCACACAATTAAGTGTATTGAAAAGATCAGTATCTGTCCATGATATCATTTACAAAGACACAAAATTGATTGTTTTGCTCTGAAAATTTCTTTTGTACTTTTGCAATCCTTTGTTACTAATACATATTTTTATGCCCCACCTACGATAGTAGTAGGGGCACTATGTTTTCTGGTCTGTGCTTCCATTCGTTCGTCCGTCCGTTTGTCCGTCTGTTCCGCTTTAGGTTCAAGTTTTTGGTCAATGTAGTTTTTGATGAAGTTGAAGTCCAATCAAATCTAAACTTAGTACACATGTTCCATATGATATGATCTTTCTAATTTTAATGTCAAATTAGAGTTTTGACCCCAATTTCACGGTCCACTGAACAAAGAAAATGATAGTGCGAGTGGGGCATCTGGGCATCCGTGTACTATTGACACATTCTTGTTATACATATATTAAGAGTGTGATAAAGGATTAATTACCTATAATAATACAAGTCACAAATTGCACTATTTCTTCTCGATTTTCTGTGTCAAAATTATAAAGTGAAAGTAATTTTGTTATGAATATTGTTAATGAAAACTGATGAGAATTTTATGTCGAAAGTTTTTCTCATATTGATTTGTAATTTTCAGAATGCTGCTAAAAAGAGAGCAGAAAAAGAAGCAGCAAAGAGAAGAAAATATGAAATAAAAACCTTAAAACAGGAATTAACAGACAAAGAGAGATCCCTTTTTGAAAGTGAAAATAGATTGTATACAATTGAAAATAGTATGGTATGTATAGAATGTCATTCTGGAGACCATGGTATAACAATGAAAATGATAAGTCAAACTGAATAACATTGTTTGAGCAATAAGATATTGCATACTAAATTAGGATGTTTCAATGTAGTGGAATGTTTTCTTCAGACCTGTGTTTCACAAAAAAATCTTACTTCTAAAATCAATTGTAAGTTTACTGAATTCTTCAAGATTTTTAGTAGTAAGATTTTTTGTGAAATGTAGGCCAGTGAAGAACACAATATGTGAACATAAAAGAAATGGTCTACATTGTGATATTTGTAAAGTATTGTGAATCCAAAATTTCAATGGTCAATTTATTATTGCAAATCTTCAACAAAGGTCAGAGTGGTCAACTTTGCCTCAGAACCGTTCAACCAATCTAATTTTGATATGTTGTTTTTTATAAAGTCTAATCTGAGGTCAAGATTGATATTGGTGATTTTCGATTTTGCTGCATGAGTGATTGCCTTGATTGATTGAAAAATGTTAATTCATTTTCATCTCTCCTGCGCTGAAAGTTGTTTTCCAGCAGTGGCATCTGTGTCAACAACTGTTAAGATTTCTGCATAAGTCAGTTTGATAGATCAATAGATCAATAATATATTTTCTATAAAGTTGCATTACTATCAGTACATATCAGTAAAGTGACTATTTCGAGGCCTTGCCCCTAGTCCTCATGGTCCTCCCCTCTAGTTCATGATCCAGTGACTTTTAATTGATTAGCAATGTTGCTGTCCATCAGATTGTCTTTTTCTGAATTTTTTGCAGACAGGCGAGACATATCTCTGTGTCAACAGTTTATTTTTTTTATGCAATAGCTTGAAAACCATTCAACCGACTCTTTTTCAAGTTAGATTTTTTGTTTCTGGAGTTATGGTGCTTGGTTGCTTTAACAAAAATTTGTAATTGAAAATTAAACTTTTTGTAATTGTTGGAAACTTATTTAGTCTGTTTTTGGTATGTTTTTTTCACATCTTTATAACATTGAATTAATTTCTGAAATAACAGTATATCAAGGATAACAATTTGATTTGTTTCAGGGCTTTGAGAGGAGAATAGAAGCAGAAGTGGAGTCCTAGTTTTAACCCCAGAGCTTAAATAGATTATGTTATAAACCCTAGATTAGACACTACTCTGATGATGTCTCTGGGAAACTGGTGCTTCATTACTATCATAGAGTGATTGGATAGACAGCTTGTATACAAACATACTATTTCATAAAGAGCTAACAATTAATTAACATATGTTATATTTTCATGTACATCAAATTGAACAAGCAATAATATATTCATTTAGCATCAGTCAGTAAAAGCGTGTTTAGCAGGGATGATGTTGACACTCGTTAATTAATTAGTTTTTGCAAGCGCTGTTGTTTAATGGAAATTTGGTGTTTAATAAGGGATATTTTTAGAGAATCGAAAAGAAGTCCAGATTTACATTATGAATTCCTGTTAAGATTGATGCAACTGATGTAAAATTTAAAAAAAAGTATTTTGTTGAATGTAGTTATATTGTTGTCTTAAATGATACAAGAAGTGAATTAAATTTCTGATATATTTTCAGTTTATTTGACCTTTTTATTTAGCAGAGAGAGCTCTAATGATAGCCAGGAATATCAGATTTCAGGAACAGCTCAATATTTTACATCTTTTATATCTAGTGAATTTTCTAAATCTTTATTTCAATAAAAGGTCTTTTTCATAATAACGTTGACCATAGGTAGTTAGAATTTAGCAGTATTAGTATAGTTCAATGAAGTTTATTTGATACTGGTGTTTATATTTTTATATTGCTTATTTTATGTGAATGTAGCTACCTTTTACCAATTTGATTAAAGTTCTGTTACTTAAACCTTACATCCAATAATATGAAATATAACAACCTGTTCAATGATAAATATAGATTATGAATAAGATGAGATGAACATTTATGATAATGGGATTTTGCTCCTTTAAGATTTAAATATATTGGGGATTTAAAAGAAGTTCGATTAAATTTATTTTAAAATTAAAAAAGATCAATTTGGTCAGAAATACATTTTTAAATAAGACTCAAAGCTTCCAGACAACTAAAATTTGTGTTATGATCATGTAAAAAATCAAAATATTTTGAGAAATTGTCTATTATTTATGCATTTTATTGTAATTTATTTTTATATTGTAGACATTGTTGTATACATTGTAAACTGTGATACCGATTTGGACATTATTGTCTATGTTTATTTATATGTTATATCGTTTTTTTCGATGTTTTTAGAAATTCTGAGAAATATTACATTTTACTGTTTCCGTCCTAACTGTAGAAATTTGAATATAGTGTAGCTTTCTTATAATGTAAGCAGGCACAGATGACATAATAAACTAGCCAGCTTGGCTCAAATGTCTCATTGTGTTTTTAATCTAGAATTTATGTTCCACTTGTCTTACACACAATCCTGTCCTATTTTCCTCATTAATAAATGAAATTATTCAGAAACATAGGTTCCAACTCACTCAGGCAAAGTTGACCTTCGATGAATTTGGCTTTTCTTTTTAAGTTTCTTCAGTCATATAGCTCCTATCATTTCTACGTATGTATACATCTCTGGCTTTCAAATGTTTAGGTTTTAGTGTTCCTGATGAAGGCTAACACAGAAAAGCACTTCAGACACACAAAATTTAAAAAAGTTATTTTCATTAAATGACATCATGAAATGGGACCATAGGGTTTTTACATCCCATGAGCAACATTTGGAACAGGAACTGCTTACCTTTCCAGAGCATCAGTCATCATCCTAAGATTTTGGTTGTGTTTAAGGTGCTCAATCTTTACTTTTTATGCCCCATTTATAGGCATTATGTTTTTCGGTCTGTGCGTCCATTCGTCCGTCTGTCCTGCTTCAGGTTAAAGTTTTTGGTCAAGGTAGTTTTTGATGAAGTCCAATCAAATTTCACGGTCCACTGAACATAGAAAATGATTGTGGGAGTGGGGCATCCGTGCACTATGGACACATTCTTTTTTTATGTAGTGTTTTGTTGACTTTCATATGTTGGTTGATCTTTTTTCTTTTGGCCATGGTGTTGTCTTTCATCAATATGGTTTTTTTGTTCATGCTATATATTTTTATGCTCTGGCACCTACGATAGTAGAGAGGCATTATGTTTTTTGGTCTGTGTGTCCATTCGTTCGTCCGTTCGTCCGTCTACTATGGACACATTCTTGTTTTTATATTGTTCTAGCAATTTTAAAGGTGAATTTCATCAATTACTAACCTTGATACTTTTTGCGTAGTATCAAAAAGGTTGCCAACTCAGAACTAGTGAACTTAAGCTTGATCAAAGACTTTATTTTCTATATTAAAATTTAGTGTATACAATGTGCAGTGCAAATTATGAGATTGTTGGATTCAAGGAGCCAGTATTGATAGCTTGATATATGTTTCTGATGATGATGACAATGGATGGCTGTTAATTGTCCAGTGGCAAATTGAATGCAGGAAAAGAACATGTTAATGTGATATGAATATGAACCCTACTTTGTGCTAGACTGCCATGTTGAGCCAGATTTTTTAATGTGCTAGTTCACAAGGTAACAAACAGTCAACACGAAGAAATGTTACCCTACTCAGACACATTATTCTGGTTCCCAGCTGCCCAGGTTTTGCTCCTACTAAACACTGAGTCTTTGGCTTGACCCTGCTTGGTCTCATTATTTCTATGAAGGTTGATTAAATATCAAATGAGAAGAAATGTGAAAATCAATCTTTCAGAGTTGCCTGTAGCAGCCATGTTATCTGACATATCATAAAAAAATAAAGGCATTTCTGCCTAGCCTGAGACAAAAGTTGCAAAATGCAAGACAGGAATGCTAATATGGTGACATCCACTTTGTGAAGTATTTGTATAATGCTTTATATTTCAGAAGTAAGATGACCTGGGTGCATCATATCTTGTATACAGATACCTTGTGCTTCTAAGTTTCTGTCTGTCATATGCTCATTGTGCTTGATCTAATTTTCATGGTTCAGCAGCTGCTTAAAATTAATCTGTGTGAGGTTTTGGTGACCTGTAATTCTCAATAGTTGTAGTTAGTAAAAGGATAGTTATATTTGATATATGGAATTCTTGCAAGGTCTACTTGTCCATCAGGCAGGGTTCACCTGACCTTGAGCTCATTTCATAGATCATTGATCAAGATTAAGTTTTCGTGGTCAAGACCATATCTCAGATACAATAGGACAGTTATATTTGGTGTATGAAATGATTGTATGGTGAACATGTCTGACTGGCAGGTTTCATCTGACCTTGACATCATTTTCATGGTTCATTGGTCAATGTTTAGTTTATGTGGTTTTCTTTATTTCTCGTATACTTTAAGCAATATTTGGGGTATATAAATAAGAAGATGTGGTGTGAGTGCCAATGAGACAACTCTCCATCCAAGTCACAATGTATAAAGTTAACAATTATAGGTCAAAGCACGGCCTTCAACACGGAGCCTAGGCCCACACGGTACCGAACAGCAAGCTATAAAAGGCCCCAAAATGACTTGTGTAAAACAATTCAAACAGGAAAACCAACGGTCTAATCTATATAAAAAATGAGAAACGAAAAACACCTATGAACCACACCAACAAACGACAACCACTGAACAACAGGCCTCTGACTATAGAATGATTGTAATGTGTACATGTCTGTCTGGCAGGTTTTATCTGACCCTGACCTCATTTTCTTAGTTCATTGGGCAATTTTCATAGTTCATTGGGCAAATTTCATAGTTCATTGGGCAATTAAGGTTTTGTGTGGTTTTCTCAGTTTATCAGTTACTTTAAGCAATATGTCAACGGTATTTGGTGTATGAAATGATTGTAAGTTGTATATGTCGGTCTGGCAGGGTTTATTTGACCTTGACCTCATTTTCATGGTTGATTTGTCAATGTTAATTTTTCATGGTTTTGTCAGCTCATCAGATTCTTTAAGCAATAGGTCAATTATAGTTGGTGAATGGAATGATTGCATGGTGTACATGTTGTCCGGCGGGCTTCATCTGACCTTGACCTCTTTTTTGTTGTTCATTAGTCAATTTTAAGTTTTCTTAATTAGATCGTAATCAATAGACTAACTTAGTTTAGTCATGTCTGTCTGGCCTCTGACCTGACATGACCTTGAATAATTTCCATAGATCTTTGATAATGTTAAGTTAATGTGATACTTGTAATTACAGACTTTCAAAAGAAGTTCAATCACGATAAGTTTAGCAGACGAGACATATCAGCGTGTGCACTCTTGTTTGGTCAATGGTAATTTTATTGTCTTTGTCTGTTTCTCAGATACTACTATAAGCAATAGGTCAACTATAGCAATAGGTCAACTATAGCAATAGGTCAACTATATTTGGTGTATATAATAGTTCACAGGTGTACGTGTCTGTCTTTGCAGGTGCGGATCCAGGATTTTGAAAAGAGGTGGGGGGGGGGGCTTGTTGTCAAACGTTTGGACTGATGCTTGGCCCGGGTCCCCTCCCCACCCCCAAATCTGCCTCTACTTTCTGGTATGGTCTGTTTCTCAGATACCATAAGCAATAGGTCAACTTTTATTGGTGTATAGAACGATTGTAAGGTAAAAATATCATTGATAATGTTAAGTTTATGTGATACTTTGATTAATCCTTTAAGACTTTCAACATACATTCAATTATGATCAGTAAAGCTGGACAGACATTACAGCATGTACACTCTTAATATAGTAAAGTTAATGCAAATAATATTTCCGACTGCTTGGTTTCAGACTGGCCATGTTTATTAGAAAAAAAAATAAAATACGATTTACTGTAGTGTTTACCAATTTGGCGTTAATGAAATTTCTAGTTTAATATAAAAATAAGGAGATGAGGTATGATTGCCAATGAAACAACTATCCACCAAAGTTCAAATAAAGTGGATGTAAGCAATTATAGGCAACCGTTCGGACTTCAACAATGAGAAAAACCCATACCGTATAGTTGGCTATAAAAGGCCCCGACATGAAAAATATGAAACAATTCAATTAAGAAAACTAACGGCCTAATTATCAACAAAACAATTAACGAAGAACAAATATGACATACATGAACCAACGACAACCATTGAAATGCAGGCTCCTGACTTGGGACAGGCACATAAAGAATGTGGCTGAGTTAAACATGTTTGTGAGCGCTCAACTTTCCCCTAACCTGGGACAGTGGTGTAACAGCACAACATAAGAACAAACTATAAAAATCAGTTAAAAAAGGCTTAACGCATCAGATGGATACAAATAGAAATACATCTAACAAAAACACAGAGTGGACGTGGCAGGATACTTATACATCCCCACAACAAAAAGACACTAAGTACAGATCTGAGAGTACTGGCAGTTACTGACAGCTAATTCAAAGCCAATAACAACTGATAAAAACATCATGTATCTAAGACTAAAATATCAATCAGCACACATCCAACATCCAATGGATTTAGTGTAAAGATGTCATTAACAGTCAGAGAAAAACATGACCTTGTGCAATGCCAAAATAAAAGATTGACAGATTGTAGTACCGTTAAAGTGCATATGTGTATATAATAACAAAACTATTAGTATGATTTTAATTTACTGATAACAAAATCAATATTTATACCAATAAAAACAATATTCAAAGATCTAATTGCAGTGTTGAATTTGTAACCTTTTTGAATAAGTTTATTTAAAGGATTGATAAATTTACCCGGATCGTATATACATTTCCGGGCTCGGTAAACAACATCACCGTAAAATTTAAGATGTGCTATTCCGCCTGAAATAGGTTTTTTACACGTACAGCCAAACTTACAAACCAAATCTTTGTATCTATGGAAGAATTTAGTAAAGGTTTTAAGTAATTTGTGGCAACGAAATCCCTGACTTAATACATATTTTTTTTTGTCGAAATAACGGATGACAAACGGATCAGACACAAATTATACAACTTAGAATTGTCGTCTCCAATACATAAATATTATTAAATGAAAACATTAAGTTATAAATTTCCTGCGTCGGAAGCGCTTTTCTGTATTTACCTTCATCAGGAACGCCCAAAGCCGAATATTTGAAAGTCAAGGATGTATAAGAACCGAACAAATTAAAGAGTTATATGACCTAAAAAGGACCTTAAAAATAGCCAAATCCATCTAAGGTCAACTTGCCTAAGGGAGTTGAAACCTTTGTTTCTTTATAATTTCCAAATTTATAAACGGACAATTTTAGAAAGGTTTGTTCTAAATCAGATCAGTACCAAAATACTGACTGATGCGCTGATGATAACCTCTGGGACTGATAGTCCAACAGCAGAGGTACCAACCATGTGCTGAAAAAACTTAAAACAACACGTTATAAATTCACTGCATCCAAAGCG